TATGGACATTTCTCTGTTCGAAGTGCATTATAAGCAAAATTAATGTATTATGATCCACACAAGATTTTAGCTTTCTGATCGCCCCAATTCCGGATGAAATCTTCTTAGCAATTTTATCAATATGCTTATCCCACAATAGAAATTCGTCAATATGAACTCCAAGCGCTTTTGTTTCCTTGACCTTTTTAATTGGTGTATCACCAACAAATACATTTGGTGCAGCAAGTAAATTATTTATGTTGTACCGAGATCCTATTAATAGATACTCAGTTTTGACTAGATTAAGAGATAATCTATTTGCAGTGAGCCATTGTTTAACGTTGGTAAGGTCATGATTTATGGCCACCTCTACATCTTGGATTGACTTGCCAGATACAGTTAGAGTCGTATCGTCGGCAAACATTCTTGTCGACGAGTACTCCAAACTGTTAGGCAGATCATTAATGTAGATCAAGAATAAGAGTGGGCCAAGAATTGAACCTTGAGGGATTCCACATGTAACCAACTTCGTGCCCGACAGAGCGCCATTAACGGAGCACATTTGGGTTCTATTCGCTAAATAGGATCCTAAAAGGTTTAATGATGGCTTCTGTAGGCCATAAAGATCAAGTTTCGTTAAGAGGATGTCGTGATTTATGGTGTCGAACGCCTTTTGTAAGTCCAGAAAAACAGCTATATTAAACAAACCACGGTCCATATTAATGAACCATTCATTTGTACTATCTAAAAGAGCAGAGGCTGTAGAATGAAACTTCCTGAAACCAAATTGACGAGGGGACAACAACTCCTGTGTAACAAGATACTCATGGAGTTGTTCGTATAATACTTTTTCAAAAAGTTTACTTACTACAGGGAGGATAGAAATGGGGCGATAGTTGTTTAATAAGTTTCGTGGGCCGTTTTTAAATATGGGAGTGACTCTTGCTATTTTCCACTCAAAAGGAACAGTTGAACTTATAATGGCCAGATTGAAAATTTTTGTCAATGAGTTTGTAATTACAGGAGCAGCAATGCGAATAATTTTAGCAGGGATTTTGTCAATTCCAGTAGATTTACGAGGATTTAGAGATAACAGAAGTCTGTATACGTTCGACTCAGACACTGTTTGAAAATTAAAGCTACTAGTTGTTGTCGTGATGTAATCCTTGAAATTTCTGTCACCATTGTCGATATTTTTGGCAATATCTGGACCAATATTGGTGAAATAATTATTAAAACATTCCGCTAACTCCGTTGGTTGTGAAATTTGTCCTCTCTGTGTTTCAAGACAATTTATTTCTCTACTTCCTTGTTTACGGTTTAGGATTTTATTCACAGTTTCCCATGCTTGTTTGGGATCATGTTTGACTTTCTTAAATTCTCCTTTATAATATGCTGCTTTTGTTTCTCGCAATGCATCAGTTACGCGATTTCTAGAGGTTTTGTATGCGTTCCAGTAATTTTCGGATTTATGTCTAATAGCAAGAGATTTAAGGCGATCGCGTTCGTGGATTTGTTTTTTAATTGTACTAGTGAGCCAAGGAACATTTGGTTTACTTTTAACTCTCTTTTCCCTGATTGGGGCATGCCTATCAAGAACTTGTACGAAAAGTGTTTTCCATGTGTCCCACATCTTATCAACGCAGAGATTGTTATCTAATAATTCCCATTCCTGACCACGCAGATCAGCTTGAAAACTCTCAGCATTGAAATATTTTAAATTACGAATTTCAACTTTCTTGTGACTGTTCTGTTTGCGCTGGATATTTATTTTACGAACAACGAAGATCATGTAATGATCACTAATGGCAATCGGTATTACTTGTGATGTTATTAACTTAGTTGGACTTATTAACTTATTAAATTAATATGTTATTAAGCGACGGTAATAATAACATATTAATTTAATAAGTTAATTTACACCATAGTATATCGAATGTCATGCTGAATGTCATGTTGAATGTCATGTTGAATCTTATGCGTACTTCACAATGGTTGCTATTTCGTTGTATTAAATTTCAATAGTATGTATAAATACTATTTATAATTCAAATTTTGTTTGATATTTATATATCATGTTATTTATAAAATGTGCTGTAGTTTTGAAGCTTTGCACACAATATGATCAGTGCGAGCAGAATGGCCTGTTTCAGTTTGAGTATATAAAAATCGAGTATTTTGATAGCGTTCGCGGCTTTGAGGCTTTCACGATATATAAATATAAACGCCTGATAATTGATAAATATAAATCAGTGCGAGCAAAACGGCTCCACAGTAACAACAAATAACTGAATATAAGATAAGCTAAAAACAGTAAAGCTTTACCTACCTCGATTTATTTTTCTAAAGCGCTCAATTACGTAAATTTTCGGCGAATAATCATTAATCAATATTTCTTTGCGTTTCCTTGACGAAAACCCGGCATGAAAATGCTCGTCGGAAAAACTCGGTATTTGTCGTATTTTACGAATCCGCCACCAACCTCGTTCCCAGGGTCTCTCCTTCTGTCATCTGGGAGAGACCCTGGCTGCGGCTGGTCACGTGCCTCCCAGATTCTGGGAGGTAAATTTAATTGTAACTGAGAGAGGGGTGGGAAAGGAGCGTGTTTGTAGCGTTTTAAAATTGCAACTTTGGGTGATGAAATTTACTGTAAATTTGCAACAAGAAATCGTAAAGAGAACTCTTAAATTAACATTTATATCGTGACGTTCTACTCTAAATCTGGTGTCGAGTTACAATTCAAGCAAGTTGGATCAGATTTCATTATAGACTTGCCAAAGAAAGCACGCTTGCGGCGGCTTGCCGCTTGTGCAGTGTGGCAATATTAAACCTACAAGAAAATATATATCTCTGGACCGAACAGTGTGGTTGTTATTTATTTAGTATTAAAGTTTATCCTGATACTCGGACCAAAAGAATTTATTTATTGATGAGATGTGGAATTGCAACGAAATAGCGAGATCTTTTGATTTCCGAAATATCGCCAACTGTATCCAGATTGTTGATCTAAAGGCCTTATAAAAAAAAACTTAAAGCCCGTCAAAAGACTATAAAATTGGCCCTTGGCATTGCTGAAACCAACGATCATGGTATATGTCAAAGTACATAGCTGTCTGTTGAAAATCTACGGTATTAAAATCATACACCAAAGATAAGTCAAACGACAAATTATATTATGCATGTCTTTCAATGAGCACTGTTTAGTAGTGTTCACCACCTTTATAAATGTTGTAACCAGCTTTCGTTTTGACATGAATAAGCTTTAATTTTTTTGCCTTGCCACTCTTAATAATACAAGTGAGATTTAAATTTTTGCTTTGTGAAATAGAATACCGTTATTTTTTAATGGACAGCTTGCATCCTCTATATCATATCCAGGATTGCTTGTGTGTAAACGTATTATTCACTGTATGACATTATCAAATAAATATAAGTAGCAAATGATTAATGAATTAGAGATAAACAGGTGATGTACAATGAAAACTTTAAAAATGTTAGTAGAAGTAGAAACTCGAAAATTTATGTGTATTCGTATGACGCCAAATGACGGTCTGTGCGCGCATCTGACACTGTAAATTTGTGATATAGATTATAGTATATTAACACAATATAATGATTAAAAGTCTTACTATAATTACCGAATACGAATTATGTACTAAATCCAGATAAATCAATGACTGAAATTTCCTCTATGCTTATGGACATTTCTCTGTTCGGCTATTATCAAATGTTTACATTTGCTAATATTTGGGCCAGTTCTAGACAATACTGTTTCTTTTAAAAATCTTAAAAACAAGACGCGTAGTAACAAGTGAATCGGTGCAAAGCGTATCAACGTTTACAAGAAAGGACAAATGTAATGGCCTATTTTAAAAACATTACAATAAACGTTTGCTATAACCGCATTCGAGTGTGAAGAGAGCATGCATTGAATAACACGAGCGAGCACTGCGAATAACGATTTGCTTGGTTTCTTGACTTGACTCAATCTCGTACCCAGAGCAATGCCTGTGCGCGGGCTAGGATGGCATTGGCTCTGGGGAAATTGAATTTTTCCGGTGCTGTGATTGGTTTAACGTTTATCAATCGTGCATGCCGACAAAGAACCGGAACCCCTAAATTTAGGGGTTCCGGTTGTCAATTTCCCCAGAGCCAATGCCATCCTAGCCCGCGCACAGGCATTGCTCTGGGTACGAGATTGGACTTGACTGTAAGTAAGAATGTAAGAATGTTCTTGTAAATTCAAAGCAAAGAAAATAAACAAAAATTAGCAAGTATTTTGAACTTAATAATTCGCAAAATTTATGTTTTCAACGAGTATCCCACTGGAAGCATGTTGATGTAATTTGATACTTTCACCACACACCCTCAGGCGCTAAATTTTTGATGAGGCACGTGATTGACACAAATGAGACAAATGATTGAAGGACTGCCTAATTGACCAACTGCCTCAATGGTTGCCTGACCGATTCATATACTCTTATAGTTATTCATGCTATCCAAGATATGTGCTGTAGTGAAATGAATTATAAATTTATCATGTTTTAGTGCGAACAAATAAATACCTTTTTTCTCTGCAAATTGTGAATAATTCTCTTTTTGCTTAACATCATCTTCCTTTTTGAGCTTTTTGGTAACATCTTTAAGTTGGTTTGAGTGAGATTCAAGTTGGTTCGAGTGATGTTCAAGTTCCTTCGAATGACGTTTAACTCCCTTCGAGTTATCGGCTGCAAGCTTTTCAACCTCTCCAATTCTGCAGAGCATTTCATTAAGTCTCTCCCTCACTGTATTCTTCTACATAGTACAAGTAATGCAACATATATTAGGAGCAACAGTCGAGAACAAGGATGACAAAGAGCCAAAGTTGAGGCATTTAAGCACATTTGATACATCCCTGACGCCCCTACCCACCATATCGACACTTTCAATGTGTAAGATTATGAGCCGTCTCTTTTTTTAATCACGCTGCGGGCCCTTAAGCACAAAGTTACGTCACTGACCGCAAGCGAGAAAAAGAACTCTTTTCCGAGTCAAAAGTCTAAAAACATTTGACATGCCCCAGTACGTTTTTTTATATAAAATAACATATATTTTACTTCGGTTCATCTAAGAACGTTGTTTTCAAATTATTACGTGTCTTAAGACCATATTTAAAACATTTAGAATGTTATAGAGTGAAACTGGCTTGCAACCACCGAACGGCTTTTTGCCAAATTAAAATAAACATGCACTGAAAACTGCTCTGTTTTAGAATATTATCATGATATTAAATACCGAACATAAAAATAGGTTCTTATTGTTTTACCTTTACAGAAATTTTTAAATCTGGCTTAGTGTGTAATAATAGCCGTTCTACATAACTTAATCAAACAATGAACTGAAATTAATGCCCTTATTATATTGTTTTTAGCTGTATAACAAATAACCTATTGACTGAACTTCTCTATTGACGAGCTCTAAACATACCGTGAACAGTTTTCGCAGAATATTTTAAGGATTTTCCTATTTCAAAAATTCTCTAAAAGCTCAGGTTTTATGCAGGTATGGTCCCAGCGCTCTGCTATTATAGTCGCCATAACAGCTGTGAACCGTATGCAGTGCCATCAGAAGCAACTTATTGTTCGGGGAGGGGTTTACGTAAGGTGGTCAGGGGACTGCCGCCGACAACCGCCGACAAAAATTTTGCATTCTTGAAGCTTGAGAAGAACAGTTCCTGTGTTAATAAATTGTGTATATGTAAAATTTAGAATGATTTAATTTTTAGTGTTCCTTCATTGATCGTTCAGCACAGTTTTTTCATATCATGTCTTACTACTTATCTAACAATTGCTAGCCAAAAAAGAAAGTCCCTCAAACCTCTGCATCACTTTGAAATATCCATTTCTCGACAGATGTACGGAGTTCAGCTACCTCTTCTGTAACCAACTTTAGTAGATCAGAATTAACAGGCTGTCCAAAACACAACTGCGTACCTAAAATTAGTTCAATTAAAATATATGTTAGTAAACTATATATATATATATATATATATATATATATATATATATATATATATATATATATATATATATATATATATATATATATATATATATATATATACATATAGCAATATATATATACAAATTGGTTTTCTCCTTCTGCCATATAGTGCTCTACACCAAAGTGGAGCTAAGTTAAAATTAAAATGAAAGATTAAAACCTAAGAATGTTCATTAAAAATTGAAAAGCACTACAGTTCTGTTTCGAGAGGCCCTTTCTAGATCCTCTCTCTTCAGGTGCATGATCAGATTAGACTAAAATATCCCATTTATATACCGATCGTTCATAGTGTCATAAAGCCTAACCGTTTTTAATTAAAAATTTGTTTGCATGCCTGCATGCACTAGCCAGTTCGTTTCTTTTGTTAAGAGTACAAGTTTCCGGTTTACAAATGATGAAATATTTTTCCATTATACATAAATTACATTTTTCCCAATATTTGAATACGGATTTGCACGGGCCATTATTTTCCAGTCTACAGCGTATCTAATGTTATTGTCTTTTAGGGACCAAATGTGCTTGCTTAACTCTGTGGAGTTTCTCTTGTTGTTGTCACGGAATGAACACGTGTGATTGTTAAATCGTGTTTTGAACCGATCCCCAGTAAGGCCGATGTATGTTTCCTTTGCATCGTTGGTTTTCACAGTGGCTGGGTAAATGACATTGTTGCTTAGGCATTCTCCTTCTAGCGGAGATATAGATATATATATATATATATATATATAGACTATATATAGACTAGGTTAGGTAGGTGGCCGTCTTTAGTAGCAAATTGGAAAGTGTCTAACGCCCGTATTCTAAAAGCTCACTCACTCAATGAGTGGGGGTTCAATCAGAGCTTTTCTTGAGTGTCATAGCGGTTTTTGAATAGCTGGAAGGTGAGTAGTCACATAGTACGACACTAACCCTCCAACTATCCAAAAACAGCAATGACACTCGAGAGAAGCTCAGATTGAACATCCACTCATTGAGTGTAAGTGAGCTTTTACAATACGGGCGCACAGTGGTGGAATTTTTTTTTCTTTCTGTGAACCTGGGTCGAAGGCTAGAAATTTCCTGTAAAATTTGTAATGTTGCAATTACAAAAATAACAAAACAAATTCATACATAATTGTATTATTTGGACTTTAGTGATAACAGGCTTTAGGCAGGTTTTTGTATGCTCATACATCACAATATAGTTGTCTGTTATATATATACCACAGTTATGAGTTATGACCAACTAGTAAGGATCTAACGCTTAACTAAGTGTCCTATCATCTTATTCCATTACTTTTATTTGTTAATTTACTATTTAATTTTCATTTTATTGAAGACTTTGCAGAGCATATATTTACCATTTTACCTCATTGTGATGGCAGGGGTGAATTAATTTCTGTCAACTATTTAAAAGGATGCAGATGTTAGCTCATGTACAGTGTAAATAAAGTAGAACAGTAGTGTAACTTGTAAGTTGAGTAAACAGAGTTATCTCAAAATGTTGAAATATTTTCTGGAAAATGTTCTGCAAAACTCTGAACTCAAAAAAGTTTCTGGGAACTAGGTTCCCAGGTTCCGATACTTTTTCCACCCCTGGGGGCGTAAGAAACCCAATACTTCATTTATCAGCTTCTGCGCTTCAATATTAATCAAATTTAATTTTTAAGTTCTTTGTAGGTTTGCATGGCGTTAAGTATAGGAAACAGTATGGTTTCGAGTGTAATTTGGATATAACAATGCACACGTGCGTTTTTCAAAGACCTCGAAATAGCACGAGTACGAAGGACTCCCAATCACAACGAAGGACAACCAATCACAACGAAGGACAACCAATCACAGTCGAGTAATATTTCCATGTATATTATTATACGTTTAATAATATACATAAAAATATTAATCAACTGTGATTGGTTGATTTCAGTGCAGTTAATCTCAAACAGCAGTGCAATTTTCTGTAATCATAGTGCAAAAATCTGTAACAAACTGATCTGATTGGTGGAAAGACAATGTGCGGATTAAAGCAGTTTAGTTTAAATAAGTAACGGTCAGAGATTGCTTCAAAGCAAAACAAACACGGTGCCCCGCTACGTAGGAAAATATGGCTTTTATCTTTTTTTTTGTTAATGGAAAAGCCTTTACCTAAAATTGTCTCGAACATTTTTATGTAAATTATTAATAAGTAATAGCATGGTTTCTCGTGAAATTTGGATAAACATGCATTCGTGAGTTTTTCACGAGTCCTTCGAACTCGTGCTATTTTGAGGTCTTTGAAAAACTAACGTGTGCATTGTTATATCCAAATTGCACTCGAAACCATACCATTACCTATAGTAATAATATATATAAAAACATTAATCGACTGTGATTGGTTGACTTCAGTGCAGTTAATCCCAAACAGCAGTGCAATTTTCTGTAATCACAGTGCAATTTTCTGTAATAACAGTGCAATTTTCTGTAATCACAGTGCAATTTTCTGTAATCACAGTGCAATTTTCTGTAATCACAGTGCAAAAATCTGTAACAAACTGATCCGATTGGTGGAAAAGCAATGTGATGATAAAATCAACCAATCAGTTTAAAGCAGTTTAGTTTAAAGAAATAACGGTCACAGATTGCTCCAAAACAAAACAAACACGGCGCCCTTTACCTTAAATAAGACTAACAAAACTAGTGCATAGTTCAGAGGAATTTTCAAAGTAGCCTGTTAGCGTTGTTACCCTTGTATAATGTGAATAACAAAGCCAGGAAAACTTTGCCAGTGGAATGTTCACTATAAACGTGTTAAGTTAAAACTACAATGATCTCGAACATTTTTATGTAAATTATTAATAAGTGATAGCATGGTTTCTCGTGAAATTTGGATAAACATGCACTCGTGAGTTTTTCAAAGACCTCAAATAGCACTCATCCTTCAGACTCGTGTGCTATTTTGAGGTCTTTGAAAAACTCATGCACTCGTGCATGTTATATCCAAATTGCACTCGAAACCATGCCATTACCTATACTAATACTTTTGGTTTGTGGAAGTTCGTATAGAGAAATATTTCTCGAGGTCTTGAAAACGGCCAGAGGCCGAAGGACGTTTTTAAGACCGAGGGAAATATTTCTCTATACGGACCGACCATACCGGTAAATAATTTTTTTTTACCCCCCCCCCCCTCTGAATTTCCCCAAACTCCCCTCCCTCACGTGAATGAAGCTGTAAAATAAGGAAGTCACCTGACATTTTCATTTAAAAATTTCAAAAACGAAACATACTGAATACAGTACAAGCACTTTTCAAGCGAACAAAAGTCGTTTAAATATATAAATTAAATAATATCCAATGGAAGTTATAAAGGAATCAAATCTAACAGAAAAACCTCAAAAAGGTTATATTTAGTCCGAGTCACTATCATCGCTCAAGATTACATGCCTTTTTTGGCAAAAGTTGCTTCTGCCAGTTCTTGGGCTCCGATCGGACTTACGATAGTAAAATTCATTTTCACTGTTCTTCATTGTCTTAAAAATAGGTACGCCAGGTGTACATGTATCTGCGAATAGCGCCACAATGAAAGGTCCAGATTGTAACAGTAATAGACAACTTAACCCATTAAGCGCCAGCGCTCTCCCCTTGATCAGTAAAATCGTCTGGCTTAAAGTAGGGTGCATGATCAGGGCGCAATGCGACTTGATGGGTTAAATATATTTACTTTACAGAATGTAAAAATTTACAACATAGATAAAAGTTAACAAGGTAATGTCACAAGGCGAGATGGGGAGCATGTTGAGTGACATTGGAATAAATTTAACACACTGAGTGACAGCACTCTCCCCCTGGACGAGTAAAATTTCTGGAGTTAGAGTAAAATAATAGAGTAATTAATACTAAAACTGATATTTGCTGTGTTGGTGTAGTGTACTCAGGTGAATAAGATGCTTGTGATGTTACTCTGAGTGTATATCCACACCGGGCAGGCTTGAAAAAAATATGCCTGGCCACGGTGGGAATCAAACCTACGACCTTTGGAATACTATCTCACATACTCGAACCGACCTGACCGCGTAGCTCAGTTGGCAGAGCATTGGGCTAGTATTCCAAAGGTCGTAGGTTCGATTCCCACCGTGACCAGGCATCACAAGCATCTTATTCACCCGAGTACACTACACCAACACAGCAAATATCATGATTATTAGATTACACTGATATCGAAGGAACTAGACTCAGTTCGAAAATATCCAATACTCAAACCGACTGACCGCGTAGCGCAGTTGGCAGAGCATTGGGCCAGTATTCCAAAGGTCGTAGGTTCGATTCCCACCGTGACCAGGCATAACAAGCATCTTATTCACCCGAGTACACTACACCAACACAGCAAATATCATGATTATTAGATTACACTGATATCGAAGGAACTAGACTCAGTTCGAAAATATCCAATTGTGAATATATACACTCAGAGTAACATCCCAAGCATAATACTAAAACTGGTTGTACCATTGTGGGTAGTACCAATGTGAAATTGATGTGCTGAGTGGTTATATTACTACCTGAAATAACAAAACTGCTTGTTTATTTCAGGTAGTAATATAATCACTCAGCACATTAAAATAATAGAGTATGCCGCATTGCCACTTAATGGGTTAACAGGGTGCATGGGCAGATACTCTGATTAAATAGAGAATAATACCTGGGTGCGCGGAAATACCAGATTTCGAGAAATAAATCTAGTATTTCCAAGCACCCATGTATTTTTCTGTTTATTATATAAAGGACAGTCTTTGAAAAGCGATAATTTTTACAGAAAAGCGATAATTGAAAAGCGATAATTTTCGCATGTGAGATTATCTCACATGTGAGATTATCACTTTTATCAGTGTTCGAAGTACTATTTAAAGCACTATATTTTATATAATAATTTGTAATAACCAATTGAGTGGCAGCATTCTCCCCCTGACGAGTAAAATCATCTGCCATTAGAGAGAGTAAAATAATAGAGTAGGCCACATCAGGGCACATTGCCACTCATTAAAATGCATTCACATTGGATATACTGTACCCGGATACAGTGCAACATTTAAATATGTGTTGATATTTGATGTATATCTTTTAGTTTTAAAACTGTATATGATGCAAACATTGTAAAAGGTATAAAATGTGAATTTAATTAAGGGAAATTAAACATCAACCTGTGGCATCTCTACAGAAACTATTAAACCATCCATAATCTCCCAAGCTAGGTTTCTCAAACTGCAAATTGCCAGAACCGAAATGACCAGCCAACCACGAGTAGAAACACTGACATTAAGTCCACAACTGTTGGCACAATTGAATTACTGTTCAGCCAGTGCATGGAAGACTAGATGGGCAGAACGTGGTCTTCATCTCCCAGTAAAATATAAGGCGTCTATAGTAAGTGATGTATATGCAAGAAAAAATGCTCTTTCTTTAATGTATCATTTACCTGATAATCGGCTGAATACACGTACTTCACACTGTGTGACAAAGTTCCTCGTTAATTTAAAAACACAATATTTTGATCGTGTATACAAACTACGAGTCGAATTTCGCAGCCAGCGAACGGCGTACCTAACCTTTTGATTAGCGATACGTTGCGTTTAAAGAATGTGATGTTTTTTGCTGTTGTTGTTTTCTTTCTGTATCTCACTCGATTCAATGAACTTTATAAAATGTTAAGGGTTTTCGTTGATGGATAATTCGAACTCGAATCGCATATATTCGCCTCTATTTGCATCCATACACCATATTTAATATAAAGACATAAAGTATGCATAGAGATTAGAGTCAAAACAGATGATATATTGCCACCGCTGATTGGCTAGAACTAGAAGCAAGAAAGTCCACTAACTAACGTATCTGCTGATTGGCTAAAGGTCACTAACTTACACGCACTGTAGCATAGTATCTGCATTCGCAGATACAAAAAGTAGCCTTTAAACTCGTCTTTACATTTTTAAAAATAAAAACATTGACTCTGCGGCTTTAAATCTCGCGCGGGCCGTACGGGCTCATACGGACAGCTCGTGTAGCCAATCAGATTACAGAAAAGCGTAAAACATGATTTCGGAGCGCAAGAAAAAAAATATGCAGTATCTACCGTATTTTTTACACAAATGACCGATCAATAAAAGACTCAATCATGATCATCCACGTTTGTTTAATATAATTATTGTAACTTATTTTGTAATTCGATACAGACTAGGTTTTTGTATATCGAACCAACGCTATTTCGAACTTTTTTTCGTTTCCCTTTGCAGTTTGAGATAGCCGACGGGGTTCTACTGTATATACACTGTACATTAATTTTAAGAAATCTAACATGACAATCAGCGGTATAGGCCGTATTCCCTGGCCCCAAAAGTCGCTTAGAAAACGATTTTTGTTGCCCCCCTTCGGGCACTACTTTAAATTTACATGAATCTATAGATTTTTATACGCTGAGTTCGAATTCACTTGTTGTCACTCGCACAAACCTGCAGTTTTTTTGTATTTTACGATCAAACATCAACATTTTTTATTAAAATTTCCGCCATTTTGTTCAGGAAACTTCATGTAATATACCGTTATTGTACTAGTTCAAGTCTCTTAGCAGGGGGGTTGCACGCGGTATTACGCATTTTTATCATTCTTCTGAGGAAAATATACAGAAACAAATAAAAATATAGATATGTTTCCACAATATTAAAGTGCGAAAGGTAATAATACATGTTTGTAAATAATCAGGAACTAATCTACTGTTCTTGTCATCCATAAAGACTCACTTGTCCTTGGTAAAGTTGTTTATTTTATTTATTATTGAAATTTTAGCCTTGCAATGTGAATAGGCAATTTTCCTGGGTATTGTCTACCTGAAATTTTTGTCAACAATAAAGTTTTGAAGGTTTTATCCCTCAGAGAGATTTCAAAATAAATTTTAACTTTGAAACTTTCTAATCGCCTAGGCGAGCCAGCCCAGGTAACCCGAGTTGATTTCATCCCAGCCAAATCAGATCATTGGTATCACTGCTATAAATACAGTAGTATAATATAATATTTTTTACTTCTCAAGATCTTGCCTAGACAGGCCAGCCCAGTTCCATATAAATGCAAGATGAATATTAGTTTAAAATTACATAGCGACGTTAGATCTTGGCAAAGCGAGCTAGCTCGGGTATCCGGCTGGCTTGGGTACCCCTAAAGGAAATGAAGAAATGTTATTTACATCAATAGATTGATGTGAATAGAGTATTATTTAATGCCCAGCTGTTATCCAAGATCTAAGGCATGGAAAAAAGAGTCTTGGCTAGGCAGCTGGGCTAGCCCAACTGGAAAGATTAAGGTTTATGTAACTAATGCATATTGGTATGTAGGTATAGTGATGCCAGATTACTTTAAATTTCTAGGGCCTGCCTGGCCAAATATAAATTAATAAATTATCCCTTCTCCAAGTGCTTGGTAATGAGTGGCAGCTCAAATAGGATTAGAGCTTATTAAGGTGATGATTTATCATGACAATATGTTGTTAAAACCTCAAATAGTTCGACCAATTCATGTCTCTGGGTGGCATGACTTTGAGATTTGCTTGTGTGAATATATTTTTTTGCTTAGTACCTTTGTTCTAGCAAGCCCATGCATATGCTTGCCTCAACAGTGTCATATAAATTGAAACACCAAGCAAGCTTCTTGTATTGTAGCTGTAATCAATTGGGGCTATGTCCTGTATGGCCACCATTTGCTAATGTAAATACTTTAATAACAATAAAGTGATTAAAAAATATGGCTAATCTAGGCTGGGTTAACTCCATATAAACAGACCAAAAGTAGGCTGTCAGTCTGTCTTAGAGTGAAAGACATCTTCCAAAAGTTTTTTTTATAAAGCTCAATGTCATGATAGCAACAATTTTATTATAATACAAGAAAATGGAACATACCATAGTTAATAGAATAGATGGTTTGGAAGCTCATTAGAATAACAATATAACTCGTCTATGTTAGTTAACGTTTACAGAGGTGTAACTTAACACTTGCCCGGAGCAAGTGAATATCATGACGGGCAAGTAAACGTTTTATCTTGTCCGATTGGGCAAGTTGCCTCTTGCCACAGAAAGCTCGGCTTTCATTATCGGATAATTTTTTATGGCGCATGTACTTGATTCAAATTTTGTTTTTTGTGGGCCAAAGCTAGATCTAAGGCAGTATAACATAGTCATATAGAGCAGTGGGAGAATGAGTCGACATGTTGCCCCCTTGATTTATACCCCCTGGCAAATGAATTTTATTCAGGGCAACTAATTTTCATGTCCAATTAACTTGCCCTGAGAGCAAGTGGTCAAAAAAGTAAAGTTACACCACTGGTTTATTCATAAATCTGGTCTCTGTATTTTTGCCCAACTAACCAATAGCAATGTCTTAGGAAAGTTACCTATCCTAAGACAACGTAACTCGAACAATAGGGTAAATTGAAAATTGCAAGAATACAAGGTGGATTTGGCAAGAATACAATACACACGAGGATGAAGGACCAGATTTATGAATAAATGTTGACTAACATAAATAATGAGCTTGAGAGTTTCAGCCAAACCATCTATTCTTTTAACTGTGATGGAACTCATTAAGTGCAGATTTACTAAATGGATGAGCTAATTTGATTGAAGTCAACTGCTACTAATGGGCAATGGTCTATTTGTGTTAATAAATTACCTAGGTGACTAAGTCTAACATTTTATACTAAACAACAAATAGGTCTAACATTTATTAATTAAACAACAAGTATATTGTGCTCCTTATTCATTGTTAACAAAAATTTGAAAGAAAAATTGCCTATTCACATTGTAAGGCTAAAATTATGTACATAATTTCAGTAAAAGTAAAATAAACAACTTTACCAAGGACAAGTCGAGTGAGTCTTTGGATATAGCATAGTGACAGTCTTTGCAATTTCACATCAAGGTGAGGCAAAAAACCCAAAAGTTGGTACAATAAAGAATAGTAGATTAGTTCCTGATTATATACAAACATGTATTATTACCTTTTGCATTTTAATATTGTGAAAAAATACAGCCAATTGCAGTTGAGCTTGCAGCTTGCATTTTAAACGCGTTGTTGCATCGTTGAAAAGTATGCGTTCATTCCTTGGAAACACACCGTTGCTAGGGGCGCAACGTTAACTTTTGGCGCGCGTTGTAACGACGTAAACATGTTTTTCTATTCTTGGCGTTGACGAATTAAATTAGATTTTGTCACATTAAATTAGATTTTGTCACAAAACCGACCAGGGAGTTCTAATTTGACTGCAGGCATTCTAAAAATACCTTACTGTTCCGTCGCAGGCTTAAGCGGCGTTTTTACAAAATATTTAACTCGTTATACGTTTGTTTGCACGCCGTTCAGAAGTTCAACAATGCCCGCCAAAAGTTCACGTTACGCCCCTAGCAACGGCGTGTTTCTAAGGAATGAACGCATACTTTTCAACGATATAACAACGCGTTTAAAATGCAAGCTGCAAGCTCAACTGCAATTGGCTGTATCTATATTTTTATTTATTTCTGTATATTTTCCTCAGAAGAATCAGAATGATAAAAATGCGTAATACCGCGTGCAACTCCCCCTGCTAAGAGACTTGAACTAGTACAATAATGGTATATAACATGAAGTTTCCTGAACAAAATGGCGGAAATTTTAATAAAAAATGTTGATGTTGTCCTATACGTTATATTTGACTGATAAACTGCGTCTCACGAATTATGCATCAATACTTGAGCCAACGTATTCCTTTGTCCACCAGAAGAGTAAAAGCGCTTGCCCGCGGCAGAGCTATATTTCAATAAACTGCGTCTCACTGAATATTACTGACCGTTGTTTTATATCCACGAAATATCTTTTCGAAAAGTATAATTTTGAAGTACTTTGCCACAGAGATCATACAATTTTGCTTGCAAGTGACACAATGAGGCTTACTGATCCAAGCAGGAAACTATGCAGACGAAGAGGTGAAACCTGATTGGTCTATTTTCCCGCACGCATGGGAAGAGATTTGAGAATGGTTTGTTGTTAATTCAGCCTTGCGCTTTGCACGTGTATGATCACACGATTCACAGATTGACCTTTGTACCAGACCTTTGTACTCCAGGAGACTTTGCACAACTTTACTCTTGTCCTAACGCTTGTTTCATTAACTTAAGTTTATAATGCTATGGGCATGTATAAACTTGCTTGTATAATGTATGCACGCAGTACTAAAAAGACAATGAGATGATAAACCTCATTAAGCTTCAGTCCTAATTATTTATTGTCTTAGTTGCATTTCACACGACCGAAATTTAATGTGAGCGGACGTATGCAGTCTCTGAGTGCCCTCTAGTTTATTATTAAATCATTGACAGCAATAATGCATCATGCAAAAATCGTGATTTTGCTAAAAATAGGAAAAAACTTGATTACTTCTAAATGATTCTTCAAAGCTTTATTAATTAACTCATTAATCAAAGTATTTTCACATGAAAATTCGGGTTGATACCGAAAACGGCATCACTGTCTGCCATAGTCTGTAACCGTCCCAATGGTTGCCTCTGAATATTCCGCTAGGAATTGCATGTTTTTACTAAACCTGTTCATCAAAGCATATCTGTTAAAAGATTAGAGCCTTTTGATTCAGAAAATATGAATAGTTTTGAAATCACACAAATATATTTCCCTGCCCTTCAATTTCATAGAGGGCGATTTATGAAGAAGCATAAGAAGAAGAGCACAATCATGATGTCACAAAAATTAAAATATTCCAAAATTTTGCCGAAAGCCTCAAAACCAAATAATTATGCTGTTTCTTAAAACCGATATTTTATATTGGGAGATCATTTGTTCACTTCAAATTTCGGAATAGTAGGGATTATTCATTATTGGACATTTCCGTCGTAATCTGAGGTAGTTCCGATGTGTAAAGTTACGCCAAAGTTGTATTTGTATACAATTGTTTAGTTTTCGAAAGTTCTCGTACCTCTGTGTCCTTCCTATAATCATGCAATGGACTTTAAAAAAATGGTTGCTAAAAAACGAAGCCAACAACCACAAATAAAAAACGTTCAAAAATCGAATTGCTGTATTAAAATTTTACTCGCCTACAAGTTTCGTTTCTGTTAATCGCGCAAATTTTAGCGTAATATTACGGCGTCAATATGGCGTCAGCAGAGGTGAGAAACACGTTTGGTCAAATTTAGCGACATTCCTCTTACTCGTGCGGGTTTGTATTGTCAGCAGATATCTCGCACAAAATTGGCCGAAGCAAATGGATAAAGCAAAACATTGCAAATTTGATTCGCTGTTCTGCTGCATATACTTCCACCATGATACAACTCCAGATAGATTGCCCCGTTATAATTAAAGAAAGCAAATTTGTTTTTTACAGGTACATGATGATTATCGAGGTTTTTGTAACTTTGTTTCTCGTTTGGTTCATTTGGTATTTCATCTCAACCTATATGAGAAGAAAGAACATGCCTGCTGGACCATTTCCCTATCCCTTCGTTGGCAACCTTCCTCAAATCATCTCTGCAGATCCTATCAGACCATTTCATAAACTAGCTGAGAAATACGGAGATATTTTCACTGTTACTTTTCTTTTACTCGAAAGAAACTGGTATTCCAGGCTTGATGCTGAATGTGGTTCTTGCGGGAGCAGCAACTAGCTCAACATGGCTAACTTGGTTTTTTCTATATATGGTCTTATATCCCAAAGTGCAGAGCAAAATACACGAGGAATTGGACGAAGTCGTGGGACGTGATCGTCTACCGAACTGGAAAGATGCAAAAAGTTTCCCATATCTTCAAGCTACCTTATGTGAAGTCGGAAGGGCATCAGGTACGACGGCGTTCATCGGAACAAACACGATTCGTGACACAACCACCGCTGGTTATCACATTCCAAAAGGAACATTTGTTGGCCTGAATATTCCGAAGGTGCATGAAGATGAACGAGAATGGCCAGAACCGGAGAAATTTAAACCTGAAAGATTTCTGGATGAGGATGGCAAGTTCGTCGGCTGGAATAAACTACATGGATTCATGCCGTTTAGCGTTGGTCGTAGAGAATGCCCTGGTCAATCGTTGGCGAAGATAATGATGTTTTCTTTTTCTTCACTGTTATTACATCATTACAATATTGAATTGCCTAAAGGAGCAGAGACGCCAAGTACTAAAGTGACGACCCCGAAAATCTTCTCTCTACCAGATGATTTTCTAGTTGTTGCAAAGCCACGAGAGTTGAAATTACAAGACTGAAGGCAAAGCTTTCATATAATTATTGATTTTTTTAATGTTTATTTTTTTGTAACAGTAACAGTAACAGTAACAATATTAAAAATAATACTAGCAGCAATAGTATAATGTTAATGGAACAAGCAACGAAATTCATTCTGAACCACCCTCCTCGTGATGTTACAACTACAGAGACAGACTAATATATTTAAACATTCTCCCTCTTGAACACAGGCGTGAACTTTATGACCCAATCAAAACAACTTTATACAAAATCAAAAACAACCTTGTTAATGCCACCTTTAATCAATACCTTACACCTGCAACTAACCCTATGCCATACGCAACTTCGACCCTAACAACTATAACAAAATCGTTTCCAATAATCAAGACTAATTCTTCAGACAATCCTATTTCCCGTGCACGCACCGTCATCCTCTGAAACAATCTACCACCGAACATCAAAGGCGCCCATTCCCTACAGATTTTCAAGCACCATCTACACAAAGCCAAACTGGCTACCTATATACCACCATAAATAATTATACTCTAAAATTCGTTGTACAGTATCCTATATGTTAAGTTGCGTGCAATCTGTGATATGTTCGTGCATAATTGTCCTAGTACGTCTCGTTATCCATCAATTGTTAAGGGGTCGAATATCGATTGGAATTTAGTTTCTGTTTTCTTCTCCTGTCACAGCATTTTCTAGTTATTGTTATTGTTATATCTCTATGTAAATGTATATCTTTAATGTGTGTGACAAAATCAATAAATAAAAGTAAGTAAATTAATAACGAATTAGCTATTTGACTTTTGTACACCATTTGTTTTGCAATATGTATTTGTATTCGTAGTTCTTAATATTCTTAGTGATTTTGTATTTTATATATTTTTGTTACACAATTTATCTACGCCCCACTTGGAAAGCAGCTCCGGTTGAAGTGGCCAGCGTAGTCAAATAAAGTTTTATCTTATCTTATCTTATCTAAAGCATTTTTTGTTGCACCTAAAGTGCATGCGTCACGCGAAACTGTAGTATACAATAACCTTGTCATGTTTAAAAAAATGTTTTTCACTCTTATTCGATTATGAGTATGTTGGTCTAAGAAATTGAGATATACGAATAAACGGAATACTATTGGTCGAATAGTTGGTATAAAGTTATCGGAAGCATGTAGTTTTATCTTTTGGATTGGAAAAAGGAACTCGTGACTTTGTTTCAGAAATACGTAAATAAACTTAAATTATTAAATTTAAATCGATATATTGAAGTTAAGAATTTTCACTCAATCCCATTAAAAATATGTACATTAATACGTGTATATATTGCACATACTCCCATCATTCCGCGCTCATTAATTACCCGCGGTTCTCCAGTCATTCTTTTCCCACGACTCGGCAGAGCGCTGACCGACTCTTTTCATATGAGTCCATGGCGAGAATCGAACCCATGAATTCAGAAGTGAAAGGCGCTTGCTTTGACGATCGTCATGTCATGTAAACGATCGTCATCGTCATGTAAACAGTCTGTCCCCGGGTTTACTATAAGTTTCTATAATATAGCCGGGATCATGTCGTTGACGAGTATAAACTCGACTTGTTAAATATGCCTATAAAGACTCCCATCTTGTCTTGACATGCTTCGACCATTACTAGACAGACACGCACACGAAATTCCCTCTTGGCAATATAGCAAACATATCACGGCGATGCATCAACTGAAACACAGAAACAAGGCACCATTTTCATGTTTATTGAGTTTTGTAACACCGTCCAGTAAAAAATTTCAAAATCGAATCAACCGCGACCGAGTTGTTGAAATCCTCTCGCAAAACTAAAGGCATATACAGGGTGTATAAAAAAAACGCAACCTCGGAATTTCCTAAGAAATACTTTGCAATTCTTAAGCATAAAAGATTTTAGGCCCCTGGGAATTGATCATATTACTGTTGTTGTGATTAAATGATCATATTACTCGCGTGTGCAGTAATTTTGACAGTTGTGCTATTTTAAATTCCCAGGCGCCTAAAATATTTGTCTTTAAAACAATGTCGATTTCTTGGGAAATTCCGAGGTTGCGTTTTTTTTATACACCCTGTATATTTACGCCTGACTATGTAGTATAAATATAATATTATTATATTAAACAACAGCGTATGCCTGTACGGATTCTGAACGATAATATCTTGAAGGACATACGGTTCAAACAGCCAATGAAAGTCATTGTTTTACCAAGTCCCTGCCGTTAACCAATTAACACTGTGATCCAGATTCTGGATCACTTCACACTATTAAGCATCGAGATTGGTGCGGTTCGATCTGAGAAACCATAGAAGTGTTCCAGAGGTTCTTCCCGCTCGCCGCCGCCCAGGTTGGATCCTCGTGTATCCCTCATTATCCCCCCTACGAGCGTGGAAGAACCTCTGGCACCCAGGGTAGCAAGTTGTCTATTTTAGATAGAAATTTTCTATATTGAAATTTCGACAAATTTTACACATTTATTTAGACAGACCTTACTACAGGGTGTATAAAAAAGGAGACCTTTAATTTTTAAAGGTCTCCTTCTTCTAATGTATGCGCGCCATCAATATTTCACGCACTACGGTTCAGCATATTGCAATTGAAAGGCATTCAAATTTTAACAATACGTTTGATTTCTAAAGGTCTCCTTTTTTATATGCACCATGTATAGGAGCAGCTTCGAAAAATGTTCGTAATATAATTATTCAACCTCTTTATAACTACGTCATAATTATACCCTGCAGTCTTGGACATAACTATGGGCGGCCGTTACCACCAAAAATACTACACGTGTGAAATGAATGGACATAAACAGAAATCATTCATTACAAACACGAACGAGTCATCATGTTTAGAAATGCTTGAACCTAAAGCCTGCCGCACACGAGAGCTATCTGCTAAGCAAAAAGTTACTCGTGCCTGTTAGCTCAGCCGATAGCTCACCGTGTGCGGGTACATTTTACTGAGTTTTTTGCCTCATGCAACCTTTTCTCACGTATCAAACATGTTTGATCGGTGAGCTATCGGCTGAGCTAACAGGCACGAGTAACTTTTTGCTCAGCAGATAGCTCTCGTGTGCGGCAGGCTTAACGTAGTGATATGACTGGACAAGTCCAGAAATGATTTGTTTAAAATTGAAACGATTCACTTTTTGTTCATTCATTCGTCTATTATTGCGCTGATTCATATAGTTCAAGTGAAATGGCTTGGCATATTTTGCAATGACTTAGCAGGTCGTATACAAGTGACTCGTTCGGTTGGCAAATAATTCATGCTTTTTTAGAACCATTCGCTGTGTTTTAAAATTGCTCAACTAAATACGAAATGATTCAACTAGATGGGACATGATTCAACCTTATGTGAAATAAATAAACTAAATGTGAAACGACTCAATGCAATGTGAAATCACTCAGTTAAATGCGACATCGTTCAACTAGATGTGACACGATTCAATACCATGTGAAATCACTCAAAGGCCTACTCTGGGGCGGTAAATCGCCTTAAATCGCTGCGATATAATGCGATTTTGGGCGATTTTAGGCGATTTAAGCAAAAACTGGGACTTTCAAGCACTGCGATTTAATGCGCTTTTAGGCGATTTAAGGCGATTTAAGAGAAAATTCTAAATTTTAGGGATTGCAATTTAGACCTGTGTTTTCAAGGTAATTGAATTTTATATTTTGCTCTGGTTTCCTCCCACAAGGCAAAATATGGCAGGGTGGGTTAGAATAAACACAGTTAGAAAAGTGATATCATATTCTCATTGTTAGAAAGATATATAGTCTAGACTAACATCAGTAACCCTAATACTTGATGTAAGCGGTGACTGAAAAGCCCCAAAGGGGAGTGAGCTGAATAATGTAATGTTTTCACACACATTGACACATATGCATTGTATGAAGCAAAATACAATTATTAGAACATGTATGTACATTTTATATAAAGCTACGTTAATAATTATTGTATTTAACCCGAATCATATATAAAGCTCAATATTCGTGAACTTTTCATTCATTGTCTTACTTAGAAGCCATTGGAGTTCATCTTGTGGGGTCATGTGGTCATGCATTCATGGCTACATTATATACCACAAGTATTGTAAACAGTTAATAAATATACTCTACTTAAGGGGCATGTACGGTACATAATTGCAAAATACCAACCTATAACTAAACTACACATGTCTTAGGCTAAACTTTAATATTATTAATTGCAAAATATAATAGATATTTGATTTCCAAAAGAACCAAAGCCCACACGGAGTAGAAATGCACAATATATTTATACAGTTACAATAAGCTATATTCCTATAAATTACCTTGTCACCCTTGTAAGTGAAATTGTCTTGTTTTGTATCTTGTCAACACTTCTTTATTTAGCTTACATTTTATTTAAACTGTTTCAACAAACATGTTTTATAAAATTATGTTTGATATCTATATCACAGAATAGGAAGTTATACCAGAAGCGTAACTCGAGCAAATATTTGTCCGCGTTTTTACAAACGATTCGTCATCAATCACGCCATCCTGGCTAGTACAACCGGCACTTTGTACCTACCAAATCCTGATAAAAACTTCCGGCTGTACTAGCCAGGATGGCGTGGCCTGACGTGAGCGAGTTAAAAATTTTCGTGGACGTCAAACAATAAGGGAAACGACTAGAGTTACGCTTCTGGTATAACTTCCTATTCTGTGTCTATATCCAGAAACAGTTTGAAACAGTATTGTCACGCATTCGGAAACTGTCGGCGTAATGCCGTAAAATTTAATTTACATGAAGTACATCGCATATAAATGGTCGGAATTCTAAATTATTTTAAAAAAATACTAAACAAAATGATATTAAACAAATGTGTCAAATGGCACACCGCGCACTACATCGTGGTTTTAAGTCTTTTACCTGATAATTTGTCAAGTGTTCTGCAAACAAGCAACAACAAAGATTGTATGGTATGTACGATGTAATCATTGTTTTACTGTTTATTTTATATACAGGTCTGGAAAATGTAATAGATGAGAGTTGCAAAACTTGCAAATCTCGCTCATATTAAACCTCACGTATGTTTTTCGTATGATAGCCAATATAATTATAACTAGGAGCTAGAGTATAACCATGCACATGTCGAAGTACAACCATTGTATACAATGCGGTGCTCGATCTACATGCAACAGTGCACAAATTGCAGGATGACCTTGTTATATACTCGTACTCATTGACTCTCATTATCATAGTCTCCTACTGTTGTTCTAACAGCAATTAGGCTTTGAGAAGCCATGTATATTATAGATTAATTTGTAGCCCAGCCACCATAGTCCATATAAATTGTAGCCCAGCCTCCACATTTTACACCAATAATGAAATTAACCAGTAACTCAATTTTGTTGCTGGTAGTGTAATAGAATCTATGGGTCTTTCATATCCCAGAATTGCCTAATTATTGTAAAGTCTGCATAAAGCAGAAAAAGGCTCTGTTTTTATTAACGACCGGAGCCTATTGAGTGACTAAATATTATCAGCCTAATCCACTTATTTGATTTATCCATGTTGCATTACTTTTGATTGCAAAACACCTGGATTATACATGATTTTCCAGCAAAATAGCAGCAATTGATAAACTTGAGTACATTATTGACTGAATGTATCAAACAGAATGCTTGTTGGCGAGTTAAGAGCGA